CAGTAAATGAAAATGCACCTAATCCAGGACCTATACCACCTAATACAGAATTTGATATAGCTCAACTTGTACTATTCTTCTTTGTGCAGCTATTGATGTTAAATAAAATCTACTAAATTAAGATTTGATTTAGATATTGTTATATGTTGCTCGTCTTATTATAGGAATTGTTATATTACAAGTAACGCTCGTCGCTTCGACTCGCTTAGCCCTCGACTGAACAAGATATCATATTCAATTTTTCACAGACGATACAGGAATAGAAGTTCACAAAAATTATACGAAAACGCAGAGTACTTTTTGAAAATTCTACTAGAAATTTGTACACATTCTAGAACATTCCTCGATAATGCGGTTGATTATTGAGTTCTCTAGGAAAATAGAAGTTCTGTGGAACCCCTAGCCGAAAATAAAACATATTATATCTGATCTCTAATCGAAATCTGATATATACAACAAGCTCTTATTCAAAGTAGTGATAAGACTAGACAGGTAATGTGAATATATCAATGTACATTCAGATACTTGAATTAATACAAACAAAAACCATATTCCAAAAGAAACATTCTTTTATTTCATTCATGTTCACTACCGATGTAGCGAATATAAATTCTTTCAGTAATACTTTTATTCTGACGAACTATTCAGTTATTTTGTCGAAACATAAAAACCGGTTCTCATCCTTGACTTGACATAGTTTTTTCAACTTTTTTGTATCTGATATTCCTTATTCAGACCTATTTGACTTCGACTATTGACTTTTATTCAATGAATCCCAACACTTCGAAGCGGCACTTCTGGAGATAACCCAGTGCAGCAGCCAGCCGCGAGTGGCGCCCCTGAGGGGCGCCGATGAGTGACTAATTGCTACCAGGTCTACTCCCATCTTTTCACAACACTATCCCTCTGTATTTTAAATTCACCTGGTCCAGAATTTACTATTTCAAAACTTCGTTAGTCTAAAGCGTTAGAATTATCGATAGGAATTTCCAAACAAAAGTTTTCTCATGAATTATTTCTCATTTCCGCAATTTGATTGTAGAACTGAGAAACCAGAATATTCTTTGAGGTTCTCATTAAGGAAATCTTAGTGCACTATTCTTCAAAATGCTTAACCGATACAAAGATCTTTAGTGAGATCAGTCTGTAGTATGCTTGCAATGTTAACGATTAACAGTTCATTAGCGCCCCTTTGGGGTACCAGCCACGGCTAAGTCCTCCTTTTACATAAGTGCACTTGAACGACAGTCTCTTATTGTCCATGTAATACAACAGCTACGATATCATTCACATATGCCTTTTCAAAACTATTTTCTTTGAATAACAGTAGCTAGACACTGCACATATCAGAAATCCCGAAAACATACCAGGATAAAAGTATCACTTTTCATAATAGTAATTATAGCATATGACAAATTAATGCCAGGTCTCAATGTTAGACCCACGCCTATCCATGTATATATTTCCGCAGATGATAGATTTAAAAACACGAAAGAACCTTTCTTATAAGTATCAAACACGGCCAAATTGCATAGCTTATTCACTCTTATCGCGTACATTTAACTAATAAATAGTCAAAAACCATTCCATAGTAACTACAAATGACTCACTTAATTGATAAATATTTTCATAAGACGAAAACAAACATACAATTTCCAATTATTTTCTTCTTTTTCATACATTTATGCAAAACCGAAAAAGACATATACTGTTTTAGCTGATCATCTACTGCAGCAAATGCACATTCTAAATCCACAAAAAAATATACGAACCGAAAAACTAATTCTTTTCCTTTCAAGTTTGTTTTCGATGGAGTGAATTTAACTGTTTTAATGATGTTTTCCATCCATACATTGTCACTATATTCTATTCTTCGAGAAAAACTGGTCTTAGAACGCATACAAAAATACTTAGGGGTATCCAAAAGTAGTGTCGCCATTACCAAATTTCCTTACAGAAAGGGTGAAAAAGTTTTCTTTCTTTTGCAAAAGATAGAGCGTCTTTCACTCTATTTTTCTATGCCATTTGATCATACCTTGACTAATGTCATGATAATAAATTTTTGACAAGACTTTTTTCGTTAACATGTTTGCTTGTGGTACTAACTCACAATGAGTCAGACGGATTAGTTTTTTAGTCCACTAATACATTGTATTAACAACCAAAATATGCCATAAGATGCAGCATGAAAAGCTCTACAATTTCCATAAGAGCACTTATTTTCTAGTTTTACTTTTTGTTTTCAAAATGGACAAAGTTTTGAGTGATCGAACTTTGGCGGGTGTAAAAACTGATCGTATAGAATTTTCCTTTTTTTCAAAACAATTACGATAAACTTTACTGTATAGATTGTAGAGCTTTTCACGCAGCATCTTCTGGTGTATTTTGTTTTTCTTTTAATAAAGCATATTAGGTGATAAGATGATCAGATTACAAAAAATGAATTCGTCGTGTATCAAAACATGATCTTTTTCCATGGTCGAAATTTGATCTCTCAAAATTTAGTCTATTTTAAGAACAAAAAGTGCAACTAGAAAATAAGTGGTCTTATGGAAATTGTAGAGCCTTTCACGCTGCATCTTGTGGCATATTTTGATTGTTAATTCAAGTAATAAGGAATTGAAAACTACAACATACAACTTACCACGAGCAAACATGTTAACGAAAAACGTCTTATCAAAAATTTATTATCATGATATTAGTTAAGGTATGATCAAATAGTATAGAAAAATAGAGCGAAAGACGCTCTATCTTTTGAAAAAGAAAGAAAATTTTTTTAACCTTTCTATAAGGGAATTTGGTAATGGCGACACTACTTTTGGATACCCCTAAGTATTTCTCCTTTTTTATCACTTGGAGTCCCTTTTGAAACTCATCAGATCTAACCCCTTCACATTCTCTTGTTAAATCTTTTTAATTTAACGCCCTTCAAAATGCAACTGTCGAGTGCACCAGCTAGTCGTTCGTCGGCGCCCCTCTGGGGCGCCACTCGCGACTAGCTGCTGCAACCTGTGATCTTCTTCTCCCATAAGATAGTTCTTTTCACTTAAATCCTGTTAAATGCCAGATTGCTCTTACTTAGAATATTGGATTTATAACACCATCGCTCCACATGAGCAGCTCCGGACCAACAGTTTCCTGTTATTTATTCCTAATTTCTTTAACCCAATGGTTTAGCCAATACGGTAAAATTTGATTAGGGCTTCTGGTTTGGAGAATCTTAGTTGATTATTCTTGATAAATGCAGGTTTCACGTAGATCTTTTGCTAAACAACATTAGAATACGTTCGCAATTTTAGCGACCACTAGTTCGCCAACACATCTCTCAGGCCTTGCTCATAGTCCCTTGTTGCATTCTTGGAATACATTAAAACAATCATTGGTTATTCAGCATTTATCCTACAGACCGTAACTTCATTTACAGGATTCTTTTAATGCTACTTCTCTCGACTTAAGCAGAGTGCTCTCAAAAAAGGCCACTTAACTCACAAACCACTATGAATAAACAGCACTCCCATAATGTCGCACACATTAGACTGAGTGCCAATGCTTTGTAAACACTGTTTCATCACACTACGACTTACTGAAACATTCAACCCATTAGATCACACTCTGATTCATGTCTACAACGATACTATGAAGAGGCTACCGAAACTAAACAGCAATTACAAACTCCAAATACACAGAAGGATTGTCCATATTTCGGGTTTCCATTTTTTCAAATGCCTTTTGCTTTAAAAAAATTGACTTTATCCTTAGACAATAATTCAGATAAAAAAGTATGATTTGTCTCATACAAAAAACTACTTGAGTTTTTGAACAGCTGACTTAAGATTCGGGTTCTCCGACCTGGATTTGCTTCCGTCAACCTTCATAAAATATCGTTATTTTCTCAAAAAACCCTTTTCTTGACCCTGAAACTCAATTCAAAATTTTAAGAAACTGACATCAGATTCGGATTCCCCGACCCCAATTTACTTTGGTCAATCTTTATAAGATATCGTTATTTTCTCAAAAAACCCTTTCCTTCACCCAAAAAATTCAATTCAAAATTTTGAAAAACTAACTTCAGATTCGGATTCCCCGACCTCGATTTAGTTCCGTCAACATTTATAAAATATCCTTATTTTCTCAAAAACCCCTTTCCTTCACCCAAAAAATTCAATTCAAAATTTTGAATCTGATTTCAGATTCGGAATTCCCGACCACGATTTCCTTTGGTCCACCTTTATAAAACATCCTTATTTTCTCAAAAAACCCTTCCCTTAACCCAAAAAATTCAGTTCAAAATTTTGAAAATCTGATTTCAGATTCGGATTCCCCGACCCCGATTTGCTTTCGCCAACCTTTATCGAATATCCTTATTTTGTCAAAAAAACCCTTTACTTGACCCAAAAAATTCAATTCAAAATTTTGAAAATCTGATTTCAGATACGGATTCCCCGACACCGATTTACTTTCGTCAACCTTTATAGCAGCGAACTTAAAATAGATGTTTTTTTGACCCCGACAAACACACAAACCCATTTTCAGTTTTTTTCCTATGACCCTCCCTTCAGTCGAGGGAATTAAAAATCCATCTTTTTAATGTTTTATTTAACTTATGTATGAATTTTAAAAGCAATTACAAACATGGTATATATTCATTCTCTATTTAGAGAAAAAACAACAGGTATTAATGTGAATGATCTTGCTAATGGTAGTTTTATATCAGTTGGTGACTTTGTATTAGGTGGTGACCTTGTATTAGGTGGTATAGGTCCTGGATTAGGTGCATTTTCATTTACTG